CGGGTGGAAACTAATCAAGGAGAGAAGCAATCTAGAACTAAGGAGAAACTTCCTGACAGTGAGAACAATTAACCAGTGGAACAACCTGCCTCCAGAAGTGGTGAATGCTCCAACACTGGAAGTTTTTAAGAAGAGACTGGACAGCTATTTATCCGAAATGGTATAGGGTTTCCTGCCTGAGCAGGGGGTTGGACTAGATGACCTTCAAGGTCCCTTCCAACTTTACTACTACTACTACTACTACTATTACTACTACTACTACTACTACTACTACTACTATTATTATTATTATTATTATTATTATTATTATTATTATTATTATTATTATAACTTAGTCTCCGGATTGTGAAAACTCACAGTGATTGCTTATGCCATGATACCATCTGTAAGTGTAACAAATTAAGTCAATAAAATCAAGAGTGATTCCGTTAACAAGATGACAAGCAAGACTCCTAATGTGTAAGTCCTCCAAACAGGATTAGATGAACTAAGTCTATTTTATTGTAACATTAACAGAGCCTTGCAAGTCTGAAGGTACAATCTTCCCACAACCACTTTTTACTGCTTGATCCATTAGGGCAGGTCTTTTTTCCCTGTCTCTTCAACCGTTAAGCTACTGGGGGCTCCTGCCTCTCTTCTTTGATTGTTTCCTAGGCAGCATCTCTTCCCATCTTACCCCAGAACATTCATATATTCCATTAGAGTTAGCCACTCTCCAAAGTTAGCGAAGCAGGACTCTCTTTCTCATACCTGTCCTGGTTCTTCTTCAGCAGCACTTGTCCTTTGGTATAACTTCATTTTTTATCATGTTTTCTTGCAAATAAAGGTTTGACACATAATGTATTAAACTAGTTTGAATTTTCCTGGATCCTTCCCAGATCTCCTTCTACAACTAGGTTTCCTATCAGCAGCTGGACAATGGAATCCAGACAGAATCTCATCCAGGACTGATTTTCTTGGCTGTTAAGGAATTCACATGGATGGGGCTTCACTTGTTTGCGCAGCCCAGTTTCCGGCATGCCCCAGACCACAGATCAGGGATTGGGGACCCTTGTGTTAAGGAATTCGCTGTCGCTTGAATGTTACCTAGGCTTTTAGACTTTCTTTTCCACTATGAACGTCTTTTATCCTTTGCCTCTTCTTTTTTTCCAGGGATCACCCCCACTGACAATGGAGCAGAGTTTGCAAGCTATTCTGAACACTCTCGGCCGTCTCTCTGAGAAAGACCATGGGACATTTGTTAACTGGGAAGGGAATCTTATTCCCTGGTGAGACAACCAGGAATCTGCTTCTCTGCACTGCAGGAAAACGGTCTCATCGAAGGCAAAGCAACTTTCCGTCTTCAGTGCACACTATATCCCAAGTCTGCCGCATGTGCTCCAACTCTCCCTTTCTTTTGTTACGCTGTCTGGTGGCTTGCTCAATCGGGGTCTTTCAGGCCCTGTTTGATCTGATTTGATCTGTTTAGATACTTCCAGGTATCTGGGCAAAAGTCTGCAAAGCATCCACTTCTGTCTTGCAAGCGAAAGATAGTATTTTTTTTTCATATCTCTAGAATCTACATCATGCTGATGGGAAATTCCTGTGACTTAATTGCAATTGGGAATAATGTTCTGGAAAGATTACACATGCTAGAGAAGTGGTGGAGAACCTATGGCACGCCTGCCAGAGGCGGCACTCAGAGCCCTCTCTGTGGGCACACATGCCATCGCCCCAGTCCTGCCTCCCCCCATGGCCCCTTCCTCACCAGCAGCCCCCATGGAGGTCGCCCCCGGGCACAGCCCACAACAGAGCAGCGCAGCCAAGGACATGGCAGCCGGGTAGCAGGGACAAGACTCCACCCTTGCCCTCCGTCATGCGCAGATGATGCTGCAGGGCACGGGTGGAGGGTGTGGCCACCATGGCACTACTGGGCCGCCTGGGCGATCTGTGGCGGGCTCTGGAGGCGGTGGGTAGCCCTGCGGGCAGACAGTGTGCAGGGTGGCAGGCAGGGCAGGGGCGGGGTGGGTTTTGGGCACTCGATCTCTAAAAGGTTTGCCATCACTGCTAGAATGAAGTCTTATGGCGGAGAACTGATTGGAGTGAGCTGTTGGCGTAATGATAGCCAAATCTGGCTCTTGGTTCTGTCTCGGTTTACTTTCCAAGTAAGCAACCAAACTGGAAGATCACTTAAAAGCAATTTATTAGGGTACCCTGATAAAGTGTATGAAAAGGGGAGACTTAAGGCCTATCTTACATTCCTTTTTATAGTTGACGCAACCAAGAAAATATGGAAGAGGAAAGTTGATTGGACCAGATAAAAGTAACCTCTCTTTTGCACAGTAAATCAACTACAAAGGTTGTTTGAAATTCACAAAGAGACATACCAGACGCCAGTTTGCACTAATAATCTTTTTCTTATCAGGAGATAAGTCTCCAGCCAGTTTATCTTTTCAATCCAGGAATGCTAAAAGTTATAAATCAACCCATACAGCAATAGGATTCCATTCCAGTGGTTTGGTAAATTCTCATAAAAGAGAGAAATGTTAAATTAAAATACATTCAGAGTAACTCTGTTAGTTAACAAGTTACAAAATCCATGACATGTGCCCCTCAGTAACAATCTCCAGATGAGTTCAAATCTGGACCATGCAAAAGCCATCTTTGCTGTCATGCTGAACGAAGAAGCAAAAGCTACAGTATGTTCAAAATAATCGTATAAAAACACAGCCATTTTTGCATCAGTTTTCAATGCATATAATAAACTTTTAATGTATCCTAAGCAATTAGTTCCTTAAATATTTTTTTGGTACAGAAATACCATCTAATACTCTATCGACAAATGTATTTAACCAATTCTATTTCTTTCTGCAAAAAAAATCACTTTAGCTTAGAGCACAAGTGACCCAACGTAGGTTTTTGCTATCTACTTTTCTTGCAATGAACTAATTCCTACTTTGTATGTACTAAAGGAGGAGAACATCTAGATAACCAATACAGTACCATTTTAATTAAAATGATGCTAATTACACACTCCGGGGTATTTGTTATTCATTTACATTCATGCAGATTCTGTGAGGCTGCACAGAGCATCCTTTTTGTTCATTCATAAAGAAGGGTATCGGACAGAGATTGCTGGCCACTGAGAGCTTTCAAGTTCATAAACTCTTGATGTAAACTTACACAAGACTCACAATTCCAGGCATGCCCCTCCAAATATAAACGCACAATTGATTTGAATTCTATGTTTCTATCTTCTTCTTCTTCTTGTGCCATATCCGTTATCGGACGTTGGCGATCATGTTGGCGATCCTGTTTTTATCAGCAACCTCACAACAAAGTGCTGCTGAGTTTTGTCTAAACCAATCCCTTAGATTTTGAAGCCACGACGTTCTTCTTCTGCCTGGACCTCGTTGGCCTTCAATCTTTCCCTGGAGGATTAAATGGAGTATGCCGTATTTTTCTGGGTGTCGCATCACATGTCGGAAATATTCTAATTTTCGTTTTTTAATTGTTTTGATGATTTCCCTTGGCTTTCCCAGGCGGCTTATCGCCTCCTCATTTCTGATCTTGTTAACCCAGCTTATACGTAACAGCCGCCTGTAAATCCACATTTCAAATGCTTCTAGTCTCTTCAGGTGGCCTTCTGTCAGAGACCAACTCTCTACTCCATAGAGCAGGATAGGAAAAATATAGCATCTGAGGAGCCTGATTTTCAGTCTTAGGCTTATGTCGTGACTGCAGAAGACCTTTTTTATTTTGAAGAATGCTGTTCGAGCTTTATGTTTCTATAATTGCTCTTAACTCATAGAATGACTGAATCGATCTTCTACCTTTTGAGCTTCTAGAAGAGGTGAAGCAAGAATCACCCTAGGTGTGCCTACGGGAACTTGGCATATTGAAGAAAACATGTCCAGGCAATTTGGATGCAGATGATCTTTTAAAAATATTCTTTTAATTTTCACCTAGGCAGAAGAAGAATGCTCCTTTAGGGTGACTGCCTGCCTACCAAATGATAGTAACTTCGAGAACATCAAGTATGGTGTCTACCAGGGCCACCTTCTCCTGCATATCTTCCAAATTACCTCTCTGAGAGTAGATGTTATCTTAATCCTTTGGTTATCTTAAGCTTTGGAAGGTTCCAAATGCATTCTTAAGTAGTGGATTGTGCAAGAAAGCAAGAAAGATGATTAGGGACTGGAGGCTAAAGCACTTAAAGAACCGTAGGAATTGGGTATATCTAATGAAAAGAAGGACTGGGGGGGGGGATGATAGCAGCCTTCCAATATTTGAGGGGCTACCACAAAGAAGAGGGAATCAAACTCTCCTCCAAAGCACCTGAAGGCAGGACAAGAAGCAACGGATGGAAACTAATCAAGGAGAGAAGCAACCTGGACTTAAGGAGAAACTTCCTAACAGTGAGGACAAGTAACCAGTGGAACAGCTTGCCATCAGAAGTTGTGGGTGCTCCAACACTGGAATCTTTTAAGAAGAGATTGGACAACCATTTGTCTGAAATGGTACAGGGTCTCCTGCTTGAGCAGGGGGTTGGACTAGAAGACCTCCAAGGTCCCTAATTCTAATTCTGTTATTCTGTTAATCCTGATACTCCACAGAGTGGAGTATTATTCTATTCTAATCCATAAAGCATGGGACATTCAGATTTTCAGGCTAAAAACCAACCAACTCCATAAAGCATCCCAGTTTTTCATTTCCTTTTTCTGCAGGGATTTGGTGGATTTAATTGCTTTAAGAGCTTTTGGTCAGAGCAGAAAACAGAGAAGATATTCTTTAAATAAAAACATTCCCACTGAACATAGCCAGAGAGAAACAGCTGCATAGAATGGGGAGGGGAGAGAGAGAGAAAGGAATGATCTTTGCTGCAAGATAGGACAAAACCCTGGGGGTGTTTGCCAAATTCCTCTTTCCTGATTTTTTTTTTTTTCAAAAATACTGTTTGCAAAGTGTCGTAACACGGGTAGAATGTTTAGGAATGAACGGAGAGTTGCGGCAATATTTAAGGAATTGCACACGGTCAATTCTTAGTCAAGAGAGATGGAACAACTGAATCCACACAGCATTTTAGTGACCGGCTCCAATCGGGGACTTGGCTTGGAGCTGGTCAGGCAGCTGGCAAAAAAGAGCAACCCCCCAAAATGGATCTTCGCCACTTGCCGGGACCCAGCTGGACCCCGTGCTCAGGTGAGGCCTGGGGTGCCTTCAGCGTTATGTGGGAAGAACAAAGATTTTTTTTTTCTTTATAACGGAAATTCACTTATCTCCTTGGTAGTGATGCATGATTGGGTTAGACATGACAGAAAAAGAAATATAAGAGTTTGTTAAATGAAGACTGGTTGTATCTAAAATGTTTGAACAATGCTTCTCTTTGCAAAATTAGGGAGAGGTGAATGATGGTGAGCTTAATTTCTCCAATCGATTGGAAGATCCTTACAATGCTTCCAAAAAGATACTTTAAAAAAAAAATCCTGAAAGGGATAGAAAACTATTGTAATATGAAATTTGCTGCCTATTTGCCCACCTCTAATGCTTCTTTCCAGCAATTTCCTCTCTCCTCAATGAGTTCCCTCCAGATTTTGCACATGGAAAAGATCTACTAGGACATGAAAAAAAAAAGATGTATTGGAAACATTTTTTATAAAGGGAAAGGCACTAAATTTGGGGATTTTTTTTTCCTTTCAGGACCTGAAGAATTTGGCTGCCGAACACCCACAAATTGTCATCATGGCATTGGGTATGTGTCCTGAAAATACCTCTGGTTTTTCTTTAGCTGAGAGGGAAAACAACTTCAGCAACAGGGTAGATCATGCCAAGTAAGCGTTAGTTCCACACACCCACATCAGAACAGATAAACATTACCTTGCATTACAATTGGTAATTTATACGGTTTAGGCAGAATTCCAAAAATGATTCCAGAAACAGCTGGATCTGCTATCCAAGAAACAAGCATTCTGCTGGGCAGATGTATTGGAAGGTCAATATCCGTGCAATAACTGATGACGTTTTGTACTTTCTCTTCTACTTCTGTCAAATTTATATATAGTATTGGCAGGAAATTTTGGGGTATTATTGGGAGGAACTCCCACCCAAAGCTCCCAGTGAGTTTAGAACAGTGGTTCTCAACCTTTTTAATGCCGCGACCCCAACCGGTTGTAAGTCGAGGACTAAACCGGTCGTAAGTCGAGGACTACCCAACCGGTCGTAAGTCAAGGACTTTCCCTTCCCGGGAGCGCCGCGCATGCGTGGTTCCGCCCCCTGCGCTGGCCGAGGCGTAGCTGGCAAGCGGCACAGACGGAGCAGGCCAATCACCAGCTGGCCCAGCCCAAGGGAGGTAAGGCACCCACCGGAAAAGCGGAAAAAAATGGCGGACAAAAAAAATGGCGGACAAAAAAAATGTTTGCATGACTAGTAAGGGTGATAATCCACCTAGCTCAGGGGTAGGCAACTCATGGACTTCCAACTCCCAGAATTCCTGAGCCAGCATAGCTCAGGAATTCTGGGAGTTGAAGTCCATGAGTCATAAAAGAGCCAAGGTTGCCTACTCCTGAGCTAGCTGCACCAATCAGCATTTGGCTTAGAAAGGATACTAGGTGCAATGTGGTTGGAATTGTTTTTCAGCCATTCAGTCCCATCTAAGTTCCAGCTGAACATTTCTGTATCATCTAATTCATGTAAGATCCTCCTTGTGTCATCAGTGAAGGCATCTAAACTTCTTGGCTTCTGCTAATCTTTTCCATTGCCAAAGGGATACCGTTTGTAGTCTGTGTGTTATGAATCGGTGCGGTTCTCTTACTGCAGTAACTCATGCTTCTTTGAAAATGATTTATTGGCTGAACTGCAATTTAATAGGCTTGCATGATATGCTAAGCTATTCATCAGAGTTACAAATATTATAAATGACCCAGAGTCACTGGAGAAAGCAGATGGGCAGCATATAAAGTTGAATATAATTTATATTTATATTTATTTATAGAAATATAAATAAATCTAATGAATTGTTTAGGCAAAAATCTAGACATCACATTGGATCTCCTAGTAAACAACGAAACAAATATTTTGCTAGGTAGACACACCAGATAGTTAATATCTAAGCATAAACTTGGCACGCTCCAACATTAGATAAACATAATGAGCAAATAGTTGTTACATCTTTCTGATCTTTTAAAGGACTTTCTAAAGTTATTTCATCTCGTCAAACCAATAAAAACATAATATGCATTTGCCTATGTTAACTGAGTGATGTAACATTAAAATTGAAGGAAGGAGGAAAAAGATGAGATCAGACGTAATAGTAAATGCTGCTGGCGAGAAGGTAGGGAACTTTTTATATGACCTCCAAGGTCTACATAAATCATTTGTCGATTCCTTATTGGATTCCCATCAATGAACATTTCAAAAATGATCAATCAACCACATTTCTTGACAGTAATGAGACTAATCACACTTTAAAAAAAATTCAGCAAAATACTGGTCAGTACGTCTGAATCATTGTATGGCATACAAAGCCAGATATGGGATAATGTGTGTTTATTTTTCCTGCTGTAGACACAACTGACCCATGCAGCGTTAAGGCTGCTGCAGCCAAAGTCACAGAACATCTCAAAGGGGCTGGACTGAACCTGCTGATTAACAATGCAGGGATTTTAAAGCTGAGCACCGTAGAGACAGAAACGGCAGAAAACATGTCGGAGGTATACAAAACCAACGTCATTGGGCCCATGATCGTAAGTCAGGTAAGGATAATATATTGTCCACTGATGTGGGGGAATTGGCCACTTGGATGGAAGGGTTCTGCAGAATAGATACTAGATAGTTTGGATTTTGTTCTGGACTAAAAAAAACTCTGTGTGGATGATAGATTTTGTCCACTGACTTTGGGCCACTCACTCAGACTCAACCCCAAGAACCTACCTCACCCAAGGCTAAACCATAAGCCCCTAAATGGGGCATAAACACATGACATTAAAAAAAGATTGTCCCATAGTTGCACAATCAAGAGATATTTTATAGGCAATGGATATAGTGAGGGTGAAAAGATCGGGTTGGTTGAAGCAGAAATGAAAGAGGGATGGATCTATCTGATCTGGCTAGGGCACACTACTGATATTTATTGTTGAGCAGCTGATGGATTCTTTGGGATCTTGCATCATGAATTTTCATTGGTTAAGAGCTATCCCAGGTCCTCTTTGCAGAGGGGGTGGGTGCCCTTCATTTGTTTTGTCCTTCCCTTCCCTTCTCCAGGCGTTCCTCCCCTTGATGAGAAAAGCATCCCAAAACAGTCCCGGGAAAGGCATGAGTTGCAGCAAAGCAGCCATCCTCAACATGACGAGCGAGTGTGGCTCCATAACAAACCTCTTTGGCTGGAATATGAATGAGTTGATCTCCTATCGTTGCAGCAAGGTAGGGACAAGCTGAGGGAAAGGGGGTCTGCTACGACCGGCCTTAAGGGTAAGGATTTCAATTTCACATTCGGTTACAGGTAATCCTCGACTTAAGAACACAAAGGAGCCCACAGATTTTCATTGCTAAGCAAGACAGTTGTGAAGTGAGCTTTGTCCCATTTTATGACCTTTCTTGCCACAGTTGTTAAGTGAACCACCGAAGCTGTTAAATTAGTAACACGGCTGCTTAGTGAATCTGATTTCCCCAGCAGTCCGTGGACCGACACTGGTTTGCAGCATGCCAGAAACCAGTCCACACAAACAAGCAAAGCCCTACCCGCAGGATGCAGGGAGCACATGAAGCCACGCCCCCTCCGATCCGCGGAAAAATCTCTCTCCATGGAACTAGTCCCTGGTGCCCAAAAGGTTGGGGGACCCTGTGTTAGAGGGTCGCACGATCACATTATCCCAGGACCTTGCGACCATCATAAAATCATGCCAGTTGCCAAGTGTCCGAATTTTGATCGTGTGTCCACAGGGATCCTGCAACAGTCATGTGAAAAATAATCATAAGCTCCTTTTTTTCCAGTGCCGTTGTAACTTTGAACAGTCAGTAAAAGAGTGGTTGTAGTTTCATTTCAAATGCCTCTCAGATCCATGGGAAAAGTCTGTAAAAACCAAGCCTTTGGAGGCTGCTAATTCACGATTCATGATATACGAGCGATTGGTCATTTTTCAGAGCAAGAGATGTGTGAAAACGATGGACCCTTCCTGAGAAATAAGTTAGCGATAGGCAGCCTATGACTTAAAAAAAATATTTGATTTGATTAAGGTACCAAGATCTCCTTTCCTGGTGCCATTTGTCCTACCTAGGGGGCACTCCCACGCCAGTATCTTTTCCACTCCCCAATAGATGATAAGTGATCAGCAGGCAACTGACTCAGCTCAAGAAAGCCTAGGTAAGCCCAAGGATGATTCCCTTGTGGTCAGTATATAAGTCTAAGCCAGTGTTTCTCAACCTTGACAATTTTAAGGCATGTGGACTTCAACTCCCAGAATTCCACAGCCAGCATTGCTGGCTGTGGAATTCTGGGAGTTGAAGTCCACATGCCTTAAAATTGTCAAGGTTGAGAAACACTGGTAAGCGCTATTGCTATTGCTATTAGTAGATCGTGAGAACGTTTTCTTCAGCTGTCAAGATAAAAGCATAATGTTAGAAATTTTCTATAAACTGTCATAGCTTACAGGCGTGAAAATTCCCTTCCTTCCTTCCTTCCTTCCTTCCTTCTTTCCCTCCTCCCTTCCTCCCCTCTGCCAAGGAGGAGATGGTCAACTGAACTGGGATGCCAATAAGCAGGCCTTTGGCGGTGCTGAAAATGCTTCCAGGTGTACTATCAAATGTGAGCTTAGAGGGAATCATAAGCTTTCCCTGCACAACACCTTTTACCAAATATAGACCGAGAACGTGTACCTAGTGGGTTCACCTAAGGTCCTGAAGAGACATTCTGCTCCTTCTGTCAATCAATATGGAATCCCTGCCGACAGGATTGGGAGAGGGGAAGAAGTGAGTCATACCTTGGAGAAGCGAGTGGGAGGAGATGATAGCATATCTTTACCGATGCATTAATGTTCTTATCTTCTGCAGGCTTTTTTGGGGGGGGGACGTCCAACATATTGCCCCAGCCAGACCTTCGGCTACAGAAGCTACCTGTGAAGGGCCTGGCATCCCTGAGCGCTCAGATGAGCCATTCATTTATTTTCTTTTTTTCTGTGTCTCCCCCCCCCCCCCAGTCTGCTCTGAACATGCTCACTCGATGCCAGTCCATGCACTTTGCCAAAGAGGAGATTCTGTGCATCACGTTGCACCCTGGGTGGGTGCAGACTGACATGGGAAACGAACTGGTAAGTGAACTGCAGAAAAAACAACCTTCATACAATAGCCAAAAAACTAGTGTGGGCAAGATTAATTGGATTAGGAGTGGAACCTTATGAAGACTTCTGAAACCCTTTGTTCCCACTGGATGATGCCCTACCTGCTGTTTCTGCTGGGGATTCTTTGGTAAGTTTTGGAAATAAATCTCTGAACTGGAAAGCATTCATAAGGTTTCCCGGGGTCCTTCAGACCACAAAGAAGCCTGCTTCATTGGAACACTGTGTGTGAAACACCCTGAACTGTTTGGAAAATTTAGTTCCTGAAACCACCCAACCACCCCAGTAACGTTATGGCCCCAAAGGAAATATTTCAGAATTCTTCAGAATATTCCATGCCCGGATCAACAATTCTGCACAACCCTAACAATCCTATCATCTCAGCTAACATTGGAGTAAAGCAAGGAGGTTTGCTGCATCCTAAATCTTGCTTCTAGACAAAGAATTTAAGTGCGCAGTTGCCATAAAGAATTGATGGAAGATGCAGATGATATCATTTTCCATTAGTCATTATAATCAAGAGTGATTCTGGTAACAAAATAACATGCAAGCAAGACTCTTAATGTGTGGCTGGTAAGTGAGTCCTCCCAAGTTTACCTGAGTGGAAACAGGATTAGATGAACTAAGTCTACTTTATTATAAGGCCACATTAACAGAGCCTTGCAAGTCTGAAGGTACAAACTTCCCACAACCAGTTTTTACTGTTTGATCCATTAGGGCAGGTCCTTTTTTCCTGTTTCCATTAAGCTACTGGGGTTTCCTGCCTCTCTTCTCTGATTGTTTCCTAGGCAGCATCTAGTAATAGTAATAGTAGTAAAGTTGGAAGGGACCTTGGAGGTCATCTAGTTCAACCTCCTGCTCAGGCAGGAAACCCTATACCATTTCAGACAAACGGCTGTCCAGTCTCTTCTTAAAAACTTCCAGTGTTGGAGCATTCACCGCCTCAGGAGGCAGGTTGTTCCACTGGTTAATTGTTCTAACTGTCAGGAAGTTTCTCCTTAGTTCTAGGTTGCTTCTCTCCTTGATTAGTTTCCACCCGTTGCTTCTTGTCCTGCCTTCAGGAACCTCTTCCCCTCTTACCCCAGAACATTCATATATTCCATTAGAGTTAGCCACACTCCAAAGTTAGCGAAGCAGGGCTCTTTTTCTAATACCTGTCCTGGTTCTTCTTCAGCAGCACTTGTCCTTTGGTATAACTTCATTTTTTATCATATTTTCTTGCAAATAAAGGTTTGATGCATAATGTATTAAACTAGTTTGAATTTTCCTGGATCCTTCCCAGATCTCCTTCTACAACTAGGTTTCCTATCAACAGCTGGACAATGGAATCCAGATAGAATCTCATTCAGGACTGATTTTCTTGGCTGTTAAGGAATTCACATGGATGGGGCTTTACTTGTTTGCGCAGCCCAGTTTCTGGCATGCCCCGGACCACAGATCAGGGATTGGGGACCCTTGTGTTAAGGAATTCGCTGTTGCTTGAATGTTACCTAGGCTTTTAGACTTTCTTTTCCACTATGAACGTCTTTTATCCTTTGCCTCTTCTTTTTTTTCCAGGGATCACCCCCACTGACAATGGAGCAGAGTTTGCAAGCTATTCTGAACACCCTCGGCCGTCTCTCTGAGAAAGATCATGGGACATTTGTTAACTGGGAAGGGAATCTTATTCCCTGGTGAGACAACCAGGAATCTGCTTCTCTGCACTGCAGGAAAACGGTCTCATCGAAGGCTAAACAACTGTCCGTCTTCAGTGCACACTATATCCCAAGTCTGCGGCATGTGCTCCAACTCTCCCTTTCTTTTGTTACGCTGTCTGGTGCCCAGTCAGGGTATTTCACACCCCGTTTGATCTGATCTGAACGGATCTGTTCGGAAACCTCTAGGCACCTCTGGCAAAAGTCTGCAAAAGCATCCACTTCTGTCTTGCAAGCTGAAGATAATTATTTTCCAGACCTCTGGAATCTAAACCACACTGATGCAAAATTCCTGACTTGATTGCAATTGGGAATAATATTCCGGGAAAGAGTACAAATGCCGGAGTGCAGTCTTAGGGCAGAGAGTTGGCTGGAGTGAGCTAGTGGGGCTACAACCTCAAGATGGTTTCTAATTTGACAGCATTTTTGCTGCCATGCTGACCTGCTCTTTTGACGCAAAAGCTACAGTCTGTTCAAAAAACTGTATAAAAAGACAGCCATTTCTGTATCAATTTTCAATGCAATATAATAAACCTTTAATGCAGACATATCAAACTCGTGATGTCACATGACGTCGCGCCACGTATCGGAACTTTCCCCCCATTGCCGGCAATGGGGTGGGCGCAGTTTCCTCGTGACGCATCCGGCCCGCGGGCTGGCAGTTTGACACCCCTGCTTTAATGTATTGTAAGCAATTAGCTCCTTAAAGATTTTTTGTTTGGGTACAGAAATGCCATCTAATACTCTATTGACAAATGTATTTAATCAATTCTGTTTCTTTCTGCAAAATAATCACTTTAGCTTAGAGCAAAAGTGACCCAACATATATTTTTTGGTATCTACCTTTCTTGCAATGAACTAATTCCTATTTTGTAACGTACTAAAGGAGGAGAACATCTAGATAACAAAAACTGTTTTAATTAACATGATGCTAATTACACACTCGAGGGTATTTATTTATTTATTTTATTATTTAAATTTATATACCGCCCTATCTCCCTTATGGGACTCAGGGCGGTGAACAGGCAATAATAAAAATCACAGTAAATATTACATAAAAGTCTGCTCTAAAATATAAAACCCCTAACAAAACCCAATCAAAACTACGCCAGGCCGGCCGCATGGAACAGATGAGTTTTCAGGGCTCGGCGGAAGAGGCGTAGGTCCGCAATTGTACGTAGGTCGGGGGATAGGTCATTCCAGAGGGCAGGAGCTGCCACAGAGAAGGCTCTCCCCCTGGGGGTCGCCAGCCGGCATTGGCTGGCCGATGGTACCCTAAGGAGGCCCTCTCTGTGGGAGCGGACTGGTCGAAGGGAGATATTTGGTAGGAGGCGGTCTTGCAAATTTGTTATTCATTTACATTCATGCAGATTGTCATGGTTCCAACAGATGAAACTCTTCAAAAGAACTTCGAGGCATTGTTTTCCTTAAAGAATCTTTTATTTGAGAAACAAAGTATCGGCACTACATAGTTGAAGTCAAAAAATTGAATTCTCCTCCCCTGGCACAAAGTAGCAAAGCACATTTCCTTCCTTCAATTAACAGTCGTAAATCCTATTCCCCAATTAACTTGAAGTGCAGGCTTTCTCCCCAGCACTCTAGCTCCCAAATCTCTATCACCTCTGGACCTAATAACCTTGGGTTCCCATGACTGAGTTATTATTGTTATGACTGGCTGGACTCTCATCCACATTCCCCCTCCCATCATCAATGAACTCTAAAAGCGATAGAGAAAAAATGGCCACATTTCCATCTGTTGTCAAAGCAAGAACATCCAATGTTAGCAGCGTTGACACAGATTCTGTGAGGTTGCACAGAGCAACATTTTTCTTCATTCATAAAGAAGTGTATCGGACAGAGATTGCTGGCCACTGAGAGCTTTCAAGTTCATAAACTCTTGATGTAAATTTACACAAGGCTCACAAGTGCAGGCATGCCCTTCCAAATATAAATGCACAATTGGTTTGAGTTCTACGTTTCTATACCTGCTCGTAGAATGACTGAATTGATCTTCTATCTTTTGAGCTTCTAGAAGAGGTGAAGCAAGAATCACCCTAGGTATTCCTACGGGAACTTGGCATACTGAAGACAACATGTCCAGGCAATTTGGATGCAGATGATCTTTTAAAAATATTCTTTTAATTTTCACCTAGCCTTAATCATCCTTGGTTTAGAGGCGTGCTGCTGTACACCTCTTTTGGGGCTTCCCTAAGGCACTATGAAGAGGCAGAAGAAGAATGCTCCTTTAGGGTGTCTGCCTGCTTACCAAATGATAGTAACCTTGAGAACGTCAAGTGTGGTGTCTATCAGGGCCACCTTCTAGAATAGGACTGAAGACATGATGTTATGGTGATTCTGGCAATTTCCAGGGCTTGGTTCTTCTCTGCCCAAGAGACGAAAAAGCTTGTCTTGGACTATTTTGAAATACCATAGAAGCAAAAGAGATGCCTAACGGCCTTTCTGGGTAACTTGCTCTTCCAAAGTGTGTAGTAACTTCTACCAAATAGGGGATGTTTATTCAACTCAGAGTGGGAGTACCAAAGTTAACACTGTAGTGAAAAACCCAGAAATTATTCTGATTGAACTTGCAATATTATTGCTGCTTGGAAATAATTGGGTCACTTGTTAAATTCGCTTAAAGGTGAGACTCCAAGATATATAGCAGCTAAATGTTAATTCCTGATATCTGTTTGATTATGTTGTATTTTATTGTAATCCAATACATTATTATTATGCTTACAAAAGACGAGTGAGACATAAACATTTCATGTAAGCCAGTAAGTAAATCATCTTTCTAATGATTGGTAATGAAAACATTTTTCAATGCTTTCATTATAGGACATCTTTTACGAACTTAATCATCCTTCTTCAGTTTAAAAATAATGGAAATGTGATGAATAAATATGAAATAAAATATTTATAAAACTTTGCAAAAGAGCTTACATTCATACTTGTTTCCTGAGAAATTCTTTGTTGTCTACTGCCAAACATATATTCCAATTCTTTTCCTAAGAGTCAAAGCAAATTTTAGTGTTAATGGTTGATAGATGTCCCATCCTTCATTATTTCTCTTCTGGTTGCAACTCTTCCATCAGAGTCCTGCAGAAAAAGGAGATGAGAAATGGGACACTCTATGGAATTAGTATGGAATTATTTCTTTGGTCTCAACTCCAGAACTTCTTTCTATTCCAACCAATGAAAGCAAGATTTGAAAGGAGGGGTAATATTAAGAAACAGCTCTTTTGCCTTTTTTCTCACTTGACTCTTTTTAATAGAAGGGCAAGATAGATCTTTCTTCACTGAAGTAGGTCCATTTCACAAGGATGTCAAAAAGGAGGCTTTTCAAAAAATACCTTCCAAATTACCTATCTGTATCTGAGAAGAAGATAACAAAATACAGAGGCCTACAAATAGAAATAGAAAGACTGTGGCAAAAGCAAGCAAAGGTAGTACCAATAGTAATAGGCGCCTTGGGTGCAATCCCAAAACAACTGGAGCACCACTTGAACACCATTGGCATTGACAAATTCGCTATTAGTCAATTGTAAAAGGCGGCCTTACTGGGAACTGCTTCCATCCTGCGACGATATCTGTAATACCGTCAAACATCCACATCTGCCTATCCCAGGTCCTTGGTAAGGACTCGATAGGTAGACAAAATGCCAAATCCAGTCTGAACATCTGGCTGACTGTGCGATGATCCATAATAATAATAATAATAATAAAGTTGGAAGGTACCTTGGAGGTCATCTAGTCCAACCCCCTGCTCAGGCAGGAAACCCTACACCATTTCGGACAAATGGCTGTCCAGTCTCTTCTTAAAAATCTCCAGTGTTGGAGCATTCACCGCTTCTGGAGGCAGGTTGTTCCACTGGTTAATTGTTCTGTCAGGAAGTTTCTCTTTAGTTCTAGGTTGCTTCTCTCCTTGATTAGTTTCCATCCGTTGCTTCTTGTCCTGCCTTCAGGGGCTTTGGAGAATAGCTTGACTCCCTCTTCTTTGGGGCAGCCCCTGAGATATTGGAACGCTGCTATCCTGTCCCCCCCTCGTCCTTCTCTTCGTTATTTTAATCCACAAATCATTGAACATTCAGATTTTCAGGCTAAAAGCATCTTGCGTTTGATGGATTTAATTGCTTTCAGAGCTTTTATTCAGGGCAGAAAACAAAGGAGATATGTTTTAAATAAACTAATTCCCACTGAACAAACAAAAGAGAAACAGCTGCATAGAATAGGGAGAAGAGAAAGAAACCTGTGGCAAGATAGGACAAAACCCGGGTGATGTTTGCCAAATTCCTTCTTCCTGATTTTCTTCGGAAATATTGTTTGCAGGTTAAATAACATGGGTGGATGAAGTCATCTGGGGCAATATTTAAGGAAGTGCAGGAAGCAATTTCTGAGTCAGTCTGGGCTGTCAACGAGAGATGGAGCAACTGAATCCACGCAGCGTTCTGGTGACCGGCTCCAATCGGGGACTTGGCTTGGAGCTGGTCAGGCAGTTGGCAAAGAAGAGCAACCCCCCAAAATGGATCTTCGCCACTTGCCGGGACCCGGCTGGACCCCGTGCTCAGGTGAGGCCTGAGGTGCCTTCAGCTTTATGTGGGAAGAACAAAGATATTTTTTTTCTTTAACGGAAATTCACTTATCTCCTTGGTAGTGATGCATGATTGGGTTAGACACGGCAGAGAAAAACAAATATAAGAGTTTGATAAATGAAGACTGGTTATATCTAAAATGTTTGAACAATGCTTCTCTTTGCAGAATTAGGGAGAGATGAATGATGGTGAGCTTAATTTCGCCAATCAGTTGATTGGAAGATACTTACAACGGTTGCGTATTTGTAAATCCTAAGAGCACATGTGGAACTTCATCACGTTTTGTTTTTAATTCTTATCCCATTTTAAATAAGCCATTTGCAAAATGGGCTGCTCCAGGATAAGAACTTTTTGTCTGGGACCAACTTAGAAGGCTCCTGTTACCTCCGAACTCCCCGTAAGAGTCTTGTAGTTTTTTCAGTTCCTCGCTCGCTTCTGAGTGTGCCTTTGCGGCACAATGGGCACTCTTCACCCGAACTGCGTCTCAGGAAGAGCCTCCCTGAGATCTTGGAAGCTTTTACTATATCACTAGTGGTATTAGTTGCTCCCTCAGCTCTTCCACAGTTGCCTTCAAATCTTCTAAGCGTCAGACCAACTTTATTCCTTAAGTCTTCCTGGCTTCCAGCAAGTAAAGGGCTATCATTAGCATGAACTTACTGATGCTTCTCCACACATTTTATATTTCGTGTAGTCTCATCTAGCATTTCTCATATGTTCTTCAGAAAGAAGAAAAGAGACTTTGCTAAGTCTCTTTTGGAGTCCATGCTAGCATTGGGTTGCACAAGCTTTTCACAATTAAAAAAAATAAAAATCCTGAAAGGGATAGAAAATTATTGTATGAAATTTGCTGCCTATTTGCCCACCTCTAATGCTTCTTTCCAGCAATTTCCTCTCTCCTCAATGACTTCCCTCCAGATTTTGCACATGGAAAAAATCTACTCGGACATGAAAAAAAAAG